AAGGATGTTGTTGATATGTGTTATGTGCATAAGCGAAAGAGGATTAGAATGCAAAAAATGAAAAGATTGCGGTTTATGTGGATCGAACACATGACCTTCAGATTACGATTCCCGAAGTTTGACTTCAGTCTGACGCTCTCCCAACTGAGCTAAACCCGCCAATCAACTAAGCGATAAAGAATCAGCCGTCGTCTTTAACTTATCACCCAAGACTCTGAAAACCCTCCGCTGTTTCCCTGCTGAAGCTGCTGAAATGGTTTTTTGAAGACTCAAATTAGAAAGCAGTCAGTCACGCTCATAGCCTCGCTTTGAAGGCTGATTATTTGGTATGTCACCAGTGAATCGGGTGCCTCTCACTTCCCAGGCACCAAAAGCGGCTGTTCGGGAAATTTTCGCTTGCCTGAGGTCATAGCTTAATTGAAGGATTCGAGAAATCTCCCTTCATCTTCCTTAGCCATGTCAATATTCACGGTTGCAAGCCGACAGAAGCAACACGCCTGGTGCACCGTGTTTCTCTTATATGGCCAAGGCTTCCTTCCACTGAATCAGCTGGTGTCATGACACCATCGTGATGCCTATGGCACTGTTGCACAAGGCTGAGCAGGGCAAGCACGATCCTTCGCGTTTCATCGATGATAGCGGGTCGTCATGATTGGCACTCTTTGTATCTAATTTAACTCCCCCACCGACCGACCGAGCAAGGAGAATTCACGGATATAGACAACGCCTTGCCAGCCCTTCACTCTTCATTCCCAGAGTCCTAGAACAGTTTCATTCCGACCGACCATGGCATTCACCAAAGTCGCGTTGCTCTCCCTCCTTTCGCTGGTCGCGGCCAGGGACGCGCTCCAAAGCCCCACCGAAAGCCCTGTTCTCGGCGAAGTCACCCCACAGGGCTGCTTCAGTTCCCTCCCCAGCGAAGCTGATGGACGATCCGACACCTTCAACAGCGTCGGCTCATGTGCCGACTACTGTCAAAAACAGAGGAAGACGGTAGCGATACTCAAGGATGTGGAGTGCATTTGCGCTTATACCTACCCGGCCAAATCCGCCCTGGTAGACGACGACAAGTGCGACACGCCTTGCCCTGGATACGCCAAAGACGCCTGTGGTGGAGAAGATGCCTACAGTGTTTTCAACCTTGGTGTGGACTTGTTACCTGGCAATGAGGGTGACAAGAGGTCGGGCACAACTGCTGATGCGACTGGCTCGACCAAAACTGCTGTTGTGACGACTGCGACCGAAGTCTCTACCAGCAACGCTGAGACGACTCCTGCGCCTACGACTGAGGCCCAAGAGACAACATCCGCCACCAAGCCTGGAAAGGCTTCTGCGACCGAAGCCACGACGAGCGACAGCACTGCGGTGTCTACGCCCAGCGCATCTGCATCATCAGTCCCCGACAACGCGTCGTGCAGACTCAATAATCCAATCGGCAACTTGGTTGGACTGTTACGACACCTGCTATAATGCTGGACTGGTGATGGGGAATTGAGGGTTAGACTGTGATGTACGATATCAATTGAGCGACAGATTGTCCTGATCACAGAGGATCATATCAATACACACATGATAAGACTTAGGCTCACGTATTAATTGATCATGAAACTTTGAGCTATTGAGACCTCTGACGATAGGATCCTCCTTTATGCGATGCCGGTTCTGTGCTCCAGCGCATCTTCAATAACTGTAAATTGGGGGCATTTCCTACAAAGTACGACTGCCAATTGACTTCTTGTGCCTGAACAGCTAGCGCTTAAATCTCTTGGTCCCAACAGCAATGTCTTTACGATAGTATTCTTCTTCCAGATCCCGACCGCTTTGTAATTTCATGTCATGCATTGATAATGTGCTGCTGGTCAGAATGCGCCCGGTAATTGAATGTGCTGTTGAAAAGAAAGTGAAACGACCGCTATAATTTAGGGGATGCCCGCTGTTTCCCAGCGCGATCCGCACCAGGGACAATCTTGGGCTATGGCCTCTGAGAAGACCAGCAGGTTTCCATCACAAGCGTCATAGTTTGGATCCATTCAATCTCAACGAGAGGGACAACAGTCAGTTTTGGCATCCTAAGCATTTGGCTCTTCGCAGCAAACAGTATCGTAGTCAGGTAGTCATATGCTCATTAAACAAACAATTTGTATCACCCAATGACCCAGCCCCAACAAGCTGATCCTCGTCTAGGGCATGGCAAAAAACGTGCGGCTTCATCAACACGTCAAAACTGTCGATGCACCATTCGCAACCTTAATGAAATTCGGTGGTCCAGACAACTCTTCATCAGGATGCTCCTTCTTCTCCTTTTCCAACGCCCATTCAATTGTCCTCGGTGTATCAGTTGTCCAAACAAGTCTCATGAATATCCCCGTATATTTCAGCTCGGAAGAATGTGTCAAAACCCAATGTTCTACGCCTCCAACCTTTCGGTGCAGTCCAAGGCCTCCCTTTGCGCCATAACATGTTTGGATACCGCCAGTATGACTCTCTTTAAGACCGTGCAGCATCGCGAGTTTCTTCGTCTTGGGCTCCGACGCGAGGAATGCTTCGAGGGGTTTTGCGTCGAGTTGCACGCCGTGAGGAGAGTCTAGAATTGCTTCGTGGACTTCTTCGCCGTTGACTGTATGGGACCAGATTATAGCAAAGACAAAGTTCAGTTCGCTTTTGCCGAGTATCATCAGTGGCGTAAACCATCTCGGAACAGGTTCGCCTGGATGTAGGTTCGGTGAGTTCCAAGTTGTCGCCGATGAATCGAAGTTGTTGATGATTTTGATGGTCTTGAAGTGATTCCATGGCTCAATGATAGCAGCGCCAGGTGCTGTTGCTATGACAGGAATCTCGGGAGGAAACGTCTTCAGAGTCTGTGGATGTAGATGGTCGGAGTAAAAGAAACCAAGAAGGACAGCATCGAGTTGCCTTGCTGACTCTTGGGCTTGAGCATTTGCTGGCAGATGCGCCGAGGCAGCTTTCTCGATCTCGCGAATCAGAGTCTCCAGGTCTTCAAAGGTCGAAATTCCCTCCTTTTCAACACGAGCAAGGTGTACGATCCATGGATGTCCAACATGGGCAGCTCCATTCAGCCATGGTTCAAAAGCAAGATGGTAGAAGACCTTCCCTGTAGCAGCTCTCTCCTCCTCTGGCCTAGGGAATGACATCAACCAGCTGTTGTCGCCATTTAGAGAGGTGAGTATCGGTCGGAACGGTTTGCTAGGGTCCGACAGGTGTTTGGTTACGGTTTCTTGCGGTGATTCGGCCATTTTGTAGTTCTATAGATGCACCAGTGAAGTTCGGCATGTCGAAAATGGTCTAAGGTTGAGCTTAAGAAGTGGAGGAGTCGATGACGGCATGGGGCGATGAGATGCTTAGCTCATTCCAAGCAAAGCGGCGGTGCAACGTCGTGGACGCCCGCTCATCTTGGCTAGTTGGTGATCTACAGGGTATCGCTTCTTCGTCTCACAGATCCATCAGTGAAGCGGGGGCATGGGGCGGTAACACACTAGTTCAGGGTCTACAAGAAACGTGCCATAACCACGGGAACTCTGTTGCATTGTCTGGCTAGAGAAATTGCCTCGTGGGGATTGTACTGATTGCATTTGTCGCAAAAGAAAAGAGGGACTCTGGTGCAACTGGTTGAGGTTAGGTCTGAATTCCTGTTGTCTCACCAGCAGTAAGCAAGCGAACTAAAATCTCATCGACCATCATCTGGACGTCTCCCCGGGGCAAAAGCGGGATTCCAGATCCTATCTCCGCAACACTGGGAGGGCGATACAAGATCGATTCGGCTTGGCTGTTTTCCACAGACACTAGGATGTGATGTAGGCGAGTGAAGCATTCTCCGCCTGCGAGTTCTTTGCCATATCAACGGCAAGACTGTACAAGCATAATCCAGGACCAGGGCCCCGGTTGCAAGGCGAACCAACACTTCGCCGATGCAGGTATCTATTCCTTGCCCAGATCTTCGACTGTCATCACAGGATGACGAATAGGCAATCTTATGCGTAAGCTTACGTGAAATTGCGCTGTGGTGTTGACTGCAAGCACGGCTTCCACTTGATCCTCAGCACCCTTTTTGACGATTTCCTTCAACGGTCTTGATTCGTCAATCCTCACAGGCTGCATCGAGCTGCCACTTACCCTGTATGAGTATAGATCAAGATGTCAATTTCCATTTTGCAGGGTAAAGCATGCATTTAATTAAAGAAACATAATTCGGCAATCGGTCAAGGCACTTTGCTTCACTTTGTCATCTTCAAGTGGTAGATTATACGAAGTAGGTTGTATGTTGGTACGGGTTTGTTGATTCGATGTATGGTGCGTCCAGCTGTTAGTATGGGTTTGGGCTGCCCGGTCCGATCAGGACTCACTGGCACGGCATATCGGAACTGAGGGATAAGGATTAGCACATGCATGTGCAGATTGAAAAAATACTTTTGGTTCCAGCAAAATAATATCGCGCGAAGAATGGCACTTATGGCATAAATTGAGACCATCGAATTGAGCACATCTATCTTCACTAGACGCTCAATAATTGGGTCTCGAAATCAGCTGACAACCTTCCACGGGATTGAGAAAGAAACAGACTGCGAGCACAGCCATTTATATCTCATTTGACCGCAAACTCACTGTACCCATGTTCTGAGCCAATGTCGGACCGATGCTAAGGATCACAGTCGGAGGAAAGTAACGGCGATTATGGCCGATTGACAGGTTCAGCCTTCGCTTATTAGACTTTCATCTTCATAAAATGCAGGCATTCTAATTGCCTTCGTGGAGGGGTACCGTAAACCCCTCAACTCACCTCGGCCCTAATTGAAAACATCATATTGTACCCGAGGCATGGCCTTACCCCCGCGGGCTTTGATCTGTTGACAGAAACAGAAGCAATTCCACAAAATTATTGGCAATCACTGGATATTTCACTGTCTCACAAATCGATAAAAACGCCAAGTGATTTCTCTTCTAATTAAAGAAGGTCTTAGTAATGACCCGCCCGGGTTGTAACAATGCCGAGGGATATGCTACTCAAACTTACTCAGTACTATGGAGTAATGGTCCAAAAAACGATGAAGATGAGATGTCTGTGTCTGTGTGTTTTCCAGATCATTGTTAATGTCAAACTAGCTGCTGTTCGTTGGGCTGAAAAGAGTAAGTAGTTCGTTCCAGATTATGAGCATGAGGGCCACGAACCGTTACAGGGATGCAACAGGCTGGTTAGAGACAAAGCCACATAATAGCGTCGTCATAGCGTTCAATGGATGCTCGGAAATCATTCCTAGCGATGATAGCAGGGGTCCAATGGATCCAAGCACGGCCAAGTCTTGTCTGTTCCAAACAAAGCCACAAAACTCGTGTCATATCAGTAGCGTCCCGGATACATGGGAATAGCTTCCTAGTTCTTACTCCAGGTCTAAAAATCATTGGTAAGGCCATGCTAAGGCTCGATCGGTTCTCGGAGGCTTTTCGTCCCAGCATCGCCAACGATCACCGCTAACAAGTACCATAACAGGTATGAAGGCTTCTCCAGCAAATGAAGCTATCGGGCTTTCGGGAATAGTGCCCAAGGACCCGATTTCTGAAGCGAGGAACTCTTGCAATCGCACTAATCTGCCGTGCATATAATCCCTGTCTTTACCCCTGAATCTGTGATCAAGCTCTGACCCTTCAGGTTGTCGTTTTCCCTCGAAGGTCATGGAGTCCGAGTACCTAACGTGAACCGTTGTCTATGGTGGAAAATACCATCATGAACTTTTGAACGAGCTTGGCGGATAAGATCAGCGGCGGCTGGCTGTACGCTCTGACAATGTCCACATAATATCCTGTATATCTGTGGCTTTGCGTTGCAATCAGGCGATTACCTGCGTCCGGGATCCTGGGTCGAGTCATTGTCTGCAGCAGGGCTTCAAGCCACCAACTTGGCAGCTTTGCGTCAGCAAGAAGCAAGCAAAAGTTCGCTTAAGTTAGTGGTTTCTCAGATCTACGCGGGGATTCGACTGACTGGCTGGGCACTGATTCCAGATGTGCATGCCACGTAAAAAAAGAGCCTTTAGCAGAAAAATTAACTGGCATGACCCTAGTAAGCCATGTCGACGCTTCAAACTGAAAGCAGTCACTCGAAGCGCTGGGCGCAGATCCATCGATCGGGCTTCACGAGTCAGCACCCCTGGCCGGACTAGGCGTTGTCCGCGAGATATCCTTGGTTCGGGGACCTCGATAAGGTTCACTAGACTGTGCTACTAAAAGGATGAGATGGGTGGAGAGTCAAAACGCGGGGAATGGGCCAAACTCTGTAATACCCGGCGGATTTGGGGCCGTTGTTAAAAAGGAGGGAGAGGGCCAGTTGCTCAAAATGCCAGCCCTGCGCTGCCTAGATTTCGTATTTGTTTTTCGCGCATGTGCGTGTGGATTTCGACATCGCATCGCCCATCATGCTTGATGAGAGCGCGACGTCAGTGGACCCCAAGGGTCTAGGGCGTGTTCTGATTGTTGTCTCCATCATTTTCTTGATCCTTACCGGGATAGTTGTTATTCTGCGTTGTGTTGTTCGGTTGAAGTATCGTCTCTTTGGTATCGATGATGGTCTGATGCTTATCGGATGGGTGAGTCTGTGTCTCAGTGAGATAAGACAAAACAATACTAACCCAGCCAGATACTACATGTTACATTCACTGCTGTCGGTCTGCGTGCCATTTACGCAGGCGTGGGAACAAAAGATAAAGACTTGAACGCATACCTGCAAGTCGATGGTCGAAAGGTACTTCATCTCGAGTATCAGCCCAACACTCATGCTAACCAGGACGCAGTGGATGTGGATTGGTCAAGAAATTTACAGTTTCTCGTTGATGCCTCTCAAAGCGTCCATCTGCGTTACTCTCCTACGCATCGCCGTCACCAAAACTCATCGAAGGATCGTCTGGACAACCCTCATCTTTACTATGGTCACCACATTATATAACGCCATCGGTACTTTTTTCGCATGCATGCCCATCTCTGCCAACTGGGACAACCGAGGAAAATGTTCTGTTGAATTTTTAATGAGTCTAGGCTATGTCGTGTCCATTAGTGCAGTTGTTTCGGATTGGATTTGTGCTGTTTTGCCTATTTTCATGCTCTACAAGTCCCACATGAGGAAAGCCACCAAGGTCTCGGTCAGCATCATCCTTGGTCTGGCTGCATTGTAAGCTACTATAGCACCGTCGATTTTCATGTCTAACGTCAAAACAGGGCCTCGCTCTGCACTATTGTTCGTTTACCTTATCTGAGAGCATTCGCACAACCTGTTAATTACTTATGTCAGTATCTCATAAGAACATCATTTTGGTAACCATACTGACAGGATCAGACAACGTCGGAAACATAGTCCTCTGGTCCACCCTCGAGTCGGGAATTGGAATTATCGCTGGGTCCTTACCGTCACTACGAAAACTCGTCAGCTCTCATTTCCATTTCGACTCATCAACGGGTAGCTCCCCGACTCACATCACGCCATTCTCTGGAACCAGTAGAGCCGTTATCACTTCGCAATCAGTGTCGGCAGGGCGACGAACTCACAGGGGCGAGGTTGGTGATAATTGGGAGCAGCTTGATGATGTTGAGGGCGCATCCAGTCAGAAGATTTATGTCAAGGTGGACTTGGAGATGCAGTCTTTGGAGAGACCAGAGACATCGAGGGAGTCACATGGGTCCCGCGAAGATTTGGTACATCCATAAATAGACTTTTAATAATATTTGTATTCTAGCTAGACTCTAAAAGGGACAACAGTACAGAGAAATGTGCCCAGCCTTGCGTGTGAAGGATCTATGTGCTGGCCATACGATGAGCCAGATGTTGAATTCCATGGTCAGTTTCGTAAACTCTTCGTGAAATATCATTTTGAGAAATCAGGAATTCCTTAGACTGTAGCATAACTCACGGTTCTGATCTTCTCTTTATGTCTAGTTTTATCCTGTTAGGACAAGATGAAGATAATTGAATACACTTAAACGATATAATTTATAAGATACTGAGCTAATATGTAACGCACTTTTATATAAGCATGAAATGAAACAATGTTGGCCTTCTCAAACATGCCAAAGTTACTCAAGTTATCCAACATGGACAAGCGTATTGATAAGATAAGGCATTTGCTAATCGTCTCTCCTAATTGGCCCCATGATGTTAAAATTGGGGACGGCGTGTGGATGCCATGAAATGCCGCTCGGTACTCGAGAAGAAGCAATTGCATGCTTTCCATAACCCCTCCTTCGAAGATTTGCGTGTAGGCTCGTATGGGATAAGCTGTACCGAGCCTTCGATGCCGTTAGTGACCCCTGTCAGTGAGTATTGGGCAAGTCGGTGATGATCATCCAACTCAGCTTTTCTAGGGAGTTCGCTCCCCTTGCAGATTGGATCGACAGCTCGTAAATCGTAATTCCGCGATGACGTATAGACACCCGCAGATCAATCTTAGACTTAGGATATTGTAATGCTAAGGTAATGATCTACTAATTCGCTCTTTTGGACGGCGGTTGTTAGGGTCGGCTATGGGATGTCTTGGCGATGGCTTCTCCACTCGGCATTGACTGACTCCCCTCTTTGGCGCCCAACAGCGGTTATAACCTAGCTTCATCTTGAAATACTCCGCAGGCTCAGCATACTCTACAGAGAATATTGCTAGCGAGAACCATGCTTTCATTCTTGAGATCGTCTGGGCCAGCCCGCACTCAAAATGCCCAAAACAACCCAATTCTCTACGAAGGCGGCAAGTCTTCCGTCACCTTCTCGGGACCCGGCTCAAAATACATCATGACCCATCGGATCCCACCAACAGACAAAGAAAACGGCGTTTCAATCATTGCGCCTCCATTCCATTATCACATCTACCAAGATGAATTCTTCCGCGTCCAGTCCGGTAAAGGGAACTTCTACCGCGGCCTTGACCCAAAGCCCTTTGCCGTCCTGTCCGACGACCCAGATGGTCAAGCTACAGCCTCGGTGAAGGCTGGATACTTTCACCGCTTCGAAAATGCGACTGAGGATAGAGACCTGGTGGTGGATATTCATCTGACTCCAGAATCATATGAGAACGAACAGCAGTTCTTCAGAAACTTCTTCGGTTACTTGGATGACTGTAAAGCGTCGGGTAGTGCACCTAGCATCTTTCAGCTCCTCGTCTTTCTTCACAGCGCCGATACTCCGTTGGTCATTCCGATTCCTTGGGAATTTCTGGGTCGCGTGGTCAGTCGGATCTTGCTTACAACTGCCGCCTACTGGGGAAGATTTGTGCTGGGTTACAAGCAGACGTATCCGGAATACTATGATGCAAAGAAGTCGATATAACACGATGACAGGTACTAGTGAAGACAGTATACCAGTAGCATATTGAATTTTACATATGATTTATCTTTTGATTTGAACATGGCTTAAGCAACTATACCTATAACGTCTGCCTCTCTCTTGACATCATCTTCCTTCCTTAACCCTTCCGGACCATCTTGAACTTGGCGAAGCTTGTAGTTGAACATATCGTTTGAGGGGACTGAGTTCCTGTCCCGCATCTTATCCGCAGTCTCAATCCCGATCACAGGAACTCGGTATTCGTACTTTGCACCAGGACCTTCAGTCTGACCAGGGACAGCATAAGGAAAGGGGAGATACTCGGGCATAAGTCCGAGCTGTCGGAGTGCAGTACCTTGATCCCAAGAGATGTGTTCATGGTACAAGCGGTCGCCCCGGATGTTGACAACGGCTGTGAATGGAATCTCTGCTCTTTGGAAGGTAGGTGGAATACCAGGTAAACTAAGACAGAGGTGGTCAGCATGAGAAGCCATGATAAGTTCTGAGTATATAGGGTCTTACAGCCAGTCAATCTCGCGATCGTGGGTAAATTTGTAGATGAACTCGTCAATCACACGGTCAATACCTATCGTTCGACTAATAAGATCAAGCGTAGTATCGAGGGAATTGTTGAAGATGAAGTTATCTCGGTAGAACTTTGTGAGACTGCTTCGGCCGATACCGCCAGTCAACTGAATATCGTTAGCCAATGCGACGTTGATAGATTCAGAAGGGCACCAACAGTTGGAACGTGATTCACATAAGGTTCCTGGACCATGGTGCTCATCGTATGCTGCACTGATCGATCACTAAACTCGTACCAGGTATGTTCATCCCAGATAGCCTCGAGGTCAAAGAAGGGTCCATTGAGTTTCGGCTTTAAGAACTGGAGATTACGGGTGTGAGATACTGACTCAGTTGTATAGTGGAAGTGAGAGTGCCCTGGAGTCGCGAAACCGTAATCTGAAGACTCCTTGTAAGGGTAGTGCGATTGACTTGAAGGTTTAAAGTCTTGACCAGCAATATGCTTCAGTAGAGGCTTTTCGCTAGAAACTAAAGTCTCTACCGACTCTGCGTCGGCGTAAAGAACACTGGCAACAATCTCTGGGGTTTGGTCTATCCCAAGGGCAGCGACATTCCATAATTTCGGCTCATACGCTGGAAACATGTCAGAATGCACGGATAAGTAGACGAACACCAATCAATGACAACTTACAAACCAGGCCAACTTTATCGTTTAGGTCACACTTCTCACATTGCTTCAAGGCATCGATTGCTTCCTTGAGAACAACTCCACTGTCCTTTCCTTCAAATGCAGCGGCTTCAACCTGCACAACGGCATAGCCTTCTTCAGCCCACTTCACCAATGAGGAAGGGACACCTTCGTGGAAAGCCAAAGGGTCCTCAGTAGTGGCGGAGAGAATAATGAGACCGGGGCCGTGGCCTCGTCTGGAGAGTGGGTACAACAATGACAGGCCGGTTCTCAGGGTCTTGAGATTGATCAATGGGAGAGGTGCTGGTGGCTTGCTGATGTCTGCGTACATGGCTAATAGAATGCGATGGGACAAGGTATAATGTGATATGATTCAAGGAGGATATATTCTGAAATACAGTGTTGATGGAATTGCTATTATGGTCTTGGATTCGACTGAAGCTATCATCGTCTTCTTAAGCAACGAACGGCGGCACCAAGTCCCATCCTCTTTCAGTTGTCTATATCCGCATTGCCGAGATATCACGAAGAGCACATCGTCTGATCTCATGACAGAAGCCATTTGAGTCAATGCCCACATCTTCATTCAACTATACCCGTCATGGACACGAGGTCATTAGTAACGATTGCAATCAATTGAGTCAGATACGGACGGGGATGGGGTTGGCGAGATAGAGCTAAACGATAGCGCTTATCCCCCCCAGATTTTAGTTCTGCCAGCGGCTGTGCCCACTGAATGATAGCGGGTATGGGCACCTGGAGCGTGCGTTTTCCGCTGAGCGGCCCGCGACACAGTCTTGGACTCCTGGGAACGCCTATAATTACTAGTCACCACATATCGCACAAGTATGAATGCCGATGTCCGACATGCTATGCGTTGATTGGCCTTCAAAAGACGGTAGTTGAAACAAGTCTGTGAAACTGATGATAAGTGGTGAACCACTTTACTTGATGAACCACTTTACTTGGTGTACCACTTTACTTAGTGGCTTCAGCATCATGGGACTTGTAATCGAGTCATAACAGAATCACACGTCTTTACTTTCCGTATCTCAGTTGTCCCAAATAATACAATGGCAGAAATATAATTAAAAAATGTACTGATTTCAGGAATGAACATTGGAAGATGTAGCCGTTGTCTGTAACATAACAGGCTGAAAAATAACATGAACTGGCAGTTATATGAAGCGTCTGTCACCCAGCGCAAAAGAGGCATCATATAACAAGAATGTGTATCACCCGGTAGCCGACATTCCAGTATCTTGATGTTCTTTTCCCCCGCACCCAACAGCTAGTAATTAAGCAGTAATGCAAGTCTGCAACCACGATAGAAAAGACACCAATAGCCCTGACTTTGCGAAAATGCGTCCCGGTAGTTTGGTTAGATCGCGACGCCTCAAAACGCGTCCCACTCTATGCGGAGTTTACCTTTCCACGTGCGGAACCCTCCATCACTAATCTCTGGTGCCCCATGGCCGATTGTCGCTGACAAGGTATTCACTGCAATTGGGCAACTCTACACGGGGATATCGCCAAAGCTGGTCCTGATAAGCGGCCAGATATCAGTGGCCGACAAGGTTTACACTTGATAAACGACCCACGGGACCAAATCTGATACCGTCTAGCTCACGATATGCAGGCCCAGTCTAGACCGTAAAGATAAAGTCGGGGTAGATAACCTGGGGTAGCAACCGATTTCGGATCCAGTAGAAATAAGGACAAGATCGCCCATTGAGATTGTGAAGGCAGACTGAGTCACTTCCTCTTCCACCTTCACTTCTCTTTATCTGTCTCCGGCATTAGATATCTCTGTCAACCTTTACGAAGGCAATCATGGCCTCTCAAGAAGTGCAGCAGGTGAGCGACGACAAAGTCACGCCATACAGACCAGCCGATGAGGAAGTTGTCTCCATGAAAGGCGAGACTCTTGAGTCTCACGAAGTCTTCCAGCAGACAGACGATGGCGTGCAGTTCAGAACTGTCAGCTGGCAGCGAGCCACCATCATCTTTCTCAAGATCCAGTTCGCCATGAGCATTCTGAGCGTGCCTGGTGCTTTTGCAACGCTTGGTGCTGTTGGAGGCGGTCTGTCGCTTGTTGGCTGGCATACTCTGAATACCTGTAAGTCAAATATCCAATTGGTAAGACAAAGGGATCAAGATTGATTAACGACTCGTGTATAGACACCGCAGTTATCCTAGGCGAATTTCGAAACCGTCACCCCGAGTGCCATAGTACGTTCCCCATACTCATTTTAAGCTTATATCGTGAGCTCTAACGTTGTGGATAGCACTCGCTGATATGTGCGGTCGTCTCTGGGGCCGCATTGGCAAAGAACTTGTTGGTCTTCAAATTCTGGTGGCCCAAGTCCTCATCTCCGCTGCCGGCATCGTTTCAATCTCGACAGCTTTCAACGCCATCTCCAATCACGGCGCCTGCACCGTCATCTTCACTTTGATCGGTGCGATCTCAATTACCTTGTTCTCCTCGGTACGAACCTTCAGCCGCCTCGGTTGGGTTACATGGATCGGATTCTTTACATTCTTCGTTGCTGTCTTCATTTTCGTCGTTGCTGTGACCCAGCAAGATCGCCCTGCCATGGCTCCTAAGACTGGTGACTACGAGCTAGGTTGGACTGCCATCGCTCACCCTACGTTTGTAGCAGGCATCACCGCCTCTGCCAACATCTTCATCAGCAACAGTGGTTCATCTATGTATTTGCCTGTGCTGTCAGAAATGAAGCGTCCTGAGCACTTCAGAAAGGCCGTGCTTGTCACAGGTGTCCTTGTGACGGCTATGTACCTGTCTTTCTCCCTCGTCATCTACAGATGGTGCGGCGTTTGGCTGGCAACCCCCGCCTTTGGAAGTGCAGGCCCTCTGTTCAAGAAGATCTCGTACGGAATTGCGCTTCCAGGTCTTATCATCGGTGTTGGCATTTACCAACACGTGGCTGCCAAGTACATTTTCGTCCGAATCCTCCGCGACTCACACCATCTTCAGGAGAACACAATAGTCCATTGGAGTACCTGGATTGGTAGCAATCTCACTCTAGGAATCCTTGCTTTTATCGTTGCCGAGGCTGTCCCCATTCTCAACTACCTCCTAGGTCTTGCCGGAGCCGTCTGTTTCGCCCCCTTCAGCTTGATCTTCCCAGCTCTCCTTTGGATGCAGGATTTCAAGCATTACAGAACAGGCAATTCATCTAACCAGGCGAAGTATTGGTCCCATGCCCTCATCGTACTCGTTGGATCTTTCATGGTAATTGCCGGAACGTAAGTCAATAAATGATCGCCTCTGTAATATGTGCGATAGCTAACCCCCTTGAAGTTACAGTGTGGCTGTATCCATCCAAGATGCCTACCGATCTGGCCTGATTGCAAAGGTCTTCAACTGTGCTGATAACTCTGGAACCATCTCTTGAGCTGCACAGTAACAATTCGTGCGTCGACCTATGAAGGCTGATTCGGGAAAGAAATGGAGGGGAGACCTAGCCTAGTTGTGAATAGAACAAACATTCTTGAAGTGGCGTTCCAATACGAAGTAGCGTAAGATAAAGGATTCAGTATTTATATGATGCTCGTATTTAGAACACTACCAGCTCTTCAAAAAGGCATAGATTATCCGCTTATCAAGTGCATTATGCGACGCGCGGGCCGCTTGATATCACTGTCGGATAGCGCACTGTCCTAACTACTCGACGCGGGTGAACCGATTGTTCAGAGATGTCCAGTTTGATCAGTCCTAGAGATTCCTAGTGTAACGATCTAAGCATGCGTTTGACTCCTTATCTGCCTCACTTTGATTGGATGACCTCCTTTGCACAGTGATGTCGTGACAGTATGCCGACTACACATCATCGGAAAGTAATGCCAAGCGAATGTCTATTGGTGTATAAAGCGATTGTCTACAGTAATTCGAGTGTACGTGAGTGTATGTCCTAAATAGCCAGCCCCCTACCATTTCATGTTCTCATGAACATATCATGTTGCCACCGCCCTTTCAAGAAAGCCCCTTGGCAATGTTGGCGTACTGCGAGTTGGGGTAGCTCAAACAGTTGTTAGTGCTATCGAGAGTTCCAAGCTTCTTGGAGCTGGTGCCGATCAACGAGTCAGCACCAGTCTTGTCAGCAGACGCCTCCCAGAACATGCTGCCGCCAAGGCTAAGGTTCTTGATGTAAAGGACCTTGTTCTCGACCATACCAGGGGTGTCGAAAGAAATAAGCTCCTTCGTGTTGGAGTCATAGCTATAAGAGGCCTGAGCATCACGATCATAGACAAGACTGGCTCCAGCCTTGGGCAGAGCCTTGTAGTCCCAGATACCGTTCTCCCAGCTTCCAGATCCGACACCAGAGTATGGCTGTCCGAGGCCGGCGGTGTTCTCAAATGCCCGACCATAGATGGGCATACCGAGAACCATCTTGGCGGACGGGACGCCACCGTTGACGTAAGCCTTGACAGCCTGGTCGGTGTTGAATGGGGTTGCGTTGGGGATCTTGGTGTTGGCGTATTTGTTAGCTTGATGTCCCGAAAAGGCGCTCCACGAGCCGGCGTAGTCGTACGCCATCAGGTTAACATGGTCCAGAACCGACCCGAGGTCCTTCATCTTGAGCTTGTTGTAGTTGTCAGGACCTGCAGGGGCAGCGATCGAAAGCTGGAAGTGATATCCATTGGCATATTGCTTAGAATAGGAGTCTAGCTCACTGCGCACGGCCTGCAGCAGAAGAATCATGTTACTAGCGTCGGTAGCGTTGGCGGGATATTCCCAGTCGATGTCGATACCATCGAAGCCCCAGTCCTTCATGAGAGTAACGGAACTCTTAGCGAAGGTAGATCGGGTAGCAGCTGAGGCTGAGGCAGCAGGGAAGTTGGTTGACCAGGTCCAGCCGCCAATGGAAAGCATGACTTTGAGCTTTCGGTTAGCCTTCTTGAGGAGGAAGAGCTGCTTGACGCATCCGTAGGCATTGTTCCCGGGCTCATCCCAAGCTGTGTTGAGTCAGTATCATTATCCAGTATCAACAAGCAGCTGCGCTTACAATCGCCAGTGTAGTGCTTCTCAAGATCGGCATACGAGTCACCAGTATACCTGCAATCTGTCAGCGCCCTGTAAATATTGAGTGTGATATGTAAATACATACACAGTGCCATCGGCTCTCACATTCATGAAAGCATAAAGCACGTGAGTCAGTTGCGATGCGGGAAGGTTCTGGGGTTGATAGTTACGCCCATAGATACCCCTGCATGTGATGAGTGAATGAACCAAGAGCACGTGAGAAGGAAGACGAACCAGTTGACAAAGTAAACGGCGTTGACGCTACCAGTTGCCTCCTCGGAGATGTCATCGTTGTTGGCTGGAACAACAAGGGCGGGGATGCCAGAAGTCATATCGTCGAGTGCGACCATTGTGAATGTTAAGATGCGCTAGCGGAAGTGTTTATAAATGTTGTAAGATTGTGATTCGATGTTGTAATCTTGATTGATCATTTCTGACCCAGTACCTGGCTCTAGAGAGCATTATATACGTCTGGAATCATTCTTAAGAACATCTCGTCAAATGCAGTATCTGTAGATAACAGAACTCGTCATTCTCCAAAGTCATCAACTCGTCTCAGCAGGATGTTGAAAGACATGTTGAGTTGCAGCGTTTGAAGAAAGAACATGTGCAGAATACTCAAGTGACTTTGCAAGGCTGTAATGACTTGAAATGCAGCAGAAAGGCGATTGTAGCCATGGTTAATGGAGAGACTGCGGTCATACCTGGTCCGTTGCAACGTTGCAGATCTGTTTCAGCACTTAGGACGATCATAGCGACCGTCACCAACACCTGGCGAAAACCTCCCGGAAATAAAGAAGCCGGATACTTTGCAGCGACGTACTCATGAGTTAGAGTCGTGTGATATCCTCGCTTGCGATTCACAGTCACCTTGATTTGACAGTAGGGCTGATGAACAGTCTTTCTCCGATAAGGTTGGCGACAGCAGAAGAAACATCGAGATAAGGTACGTCGTCGCACGTCACTTGATTTATGTCTGGTAGTGACGATGTAACCCAAAACGGAATTTGTTCTGTAATCTGGTGTCTTTTATCGTAGTTGCAAACTGGGGTAGTATTCGCAAGAGCGTGATGAGGGCACCGGGCTAGTGAGCTGGCACGGCGAGTGACTACCTATTGAACTAAGCGAGTAGGCTAGAGCACCGAGAATTTTCTTCCTGGTGTTCCGAACTGCCCAGCAAGGTGATGTAGGTAAATCATCCCACGGTAGAAGTAACGTAGTGCCTCGAAGGCATTCGGATGCCAAGCGAAATGCATCTCCGGCATTTGGGAGAAGCCATCATCTTGGCAAGCCCTCTCGGAGATTTCCAAGCGCCCAAAAAGCTCTCGTGATCGCTTCATCACTGCGAAAATCCCAATGCTACATCAATGTCTGATCTCAAGTTACCATGGCGTCTGCATTAGGAAGGTGGCTAACCAATGGGACATTGATATTCGCACAAGACATTTGAGCAGGTGGCGCATGTCTCACTGCCGAGTTGGGGCTAACTGATAAAGGAAAATCCCTTCAGCGGCCAGATATCAACACCAGCAAATCATGTTGCAACGATCGCCAGTCAGCGAAGGATTCGGGCCGGGCCATTACTCGATGTTGAAGGAAAGTCCGGGGCACGAGGAGACATGGTCATTCGTCTTTTAAAGCAAGATAAGAATCCTGATTCCATGTTTTTGATCGGAACCGAACCTCGAGGATCACGCATCTCGCCCAATGTGTTGCCGTTCATGGCATTTCTACTGAATCTACCAGTTAAATGTTACGCAAAAGAGGATATCGTGCTACTTGAGCTGATCCCAATGCTGAGAAGATCCATATAATTCACCAACACCTCATCATCAGCATGAAGGTCCTGCTGCACCCAAATAGCCTGAATAGCATTCGTCACGGCCTTCATGCTTCTGGTCCGTGCATCGCGTTGAGTTCTGTCAATCAAGTTAAGAATCGCTACCCGCTGATCGTCTCTCCCTGATTCACATGCGAGAATCAGCAGAGGAAAGAAGTGAATGCAGGTACACGATGCCACTGGCCCCTCAAATAGTGCGTCTATCAGCGAGTCTAGAAGTGCGGGTGCTTCCCATGGACTCTGTGAAGCGCGCGCTATGTATATCCGGGTTGCTACGCGATAAAGTTCCAAGGCCACCGCGCTTTCGGGATTCAGACTGTTCGGGATCGGGCTGGCGATAAGGTCGTCGACCTGCGCTTCGAGCCGTTGGAGCGATTTGCGATATTCTGGACTGTTGCTTTTCGGATCTTGTGGATCTATTATGATATCGCATGCATCAAAGAGGAGGCTCATTATTGAAGATGTTGGATCTATAGGGGGGTGATTCTGAGGGTCTGTTAGCTGCTGGAATCGAAATCAGTTCTCGTAACAAGCATACAGGTTTGTAGATCGATAATTGAGAAGTGGCTAGGTGATCGGAGCGTTGGACAGGCTTGATGAATGTCTTCTGAGCCAGTGCTTTGTGTTGCCAGTGCTGCGTACTGAAACGTGAGAGCGTATGATGATAGTTGACCCAGTCAATGAGAGCGTAGGTTTCACTCTCCGAAGAACGATGACTGAGTTGAGTAGCTTGAATGACGTCCACAGCGCCCCAAATATGCCACAGCCATTCACCTGAGCTCTCCGAAGGGCGTAAAGTCTTAAATATCAGCAGGGTCTCCATAGGCTCTGGGATCACGTACCTCAAATGATCCAAGGAGCATGGAAGCAGCCACGTGCAGGGAGGCATTCACCAAGGACAGTTGACCATCCTCGGCAGAGGTTGATAGTAGATGGAGTGCCTGAACTTTGAGCCTGAGAGCTGTTTCGCTCAGGCCATGGCGATGAAGGGAGGAATAGGCTAGCATAGCATGCAGAAGAGCCGAGGACGAAGTACTGTTGTTGATCATGGCCATTCTCAGGAGTGCATCACGGATACCAGCCGTTGTCGTGCTGAAGGTGACCAAGGATAAGTGCGCTAGGTCATGAACTAATACAAGTCAGGAGATGTGGACATCGTGAATGTGATGTAGCCCTCACAGTAATTTAGCAGTTCATTCTGATTGGTATATATCGCGGACTGTTTTAGTGACTTTGGAGGCTGGATGTGTGGCTGAGCCTGGTCATACTGTGAGGACAGGTGATTATGTAGCTCGACATCGCGAAATGATGTATTGATCAAGAAGAGGCGAATGGGGATCTCGCCTGTCTTTCGAGAGGATACAGGCGCTTGCGTTGCTGTAGTGCATACTATCGCGCGCTTCCTGTCATTATTTCTCGGCCATGATAACCGAGCTTCATAGCCTTGACAGACTAATTGAGACCGCTTGCATTTGTTACAACTCGGTCGGACTCCGTCGCATTGAATCTTGCGAGCTGATGCTGATGCTTAG